CTAGCTTCTTCATACCTGTAAGCCATGTCATGATCTGACCGCCGCGGCGCTACTTCCAGCCTTGCCCGGCGCGTGCGAAGAGAGCATGGTAAGATAGTCTATGGGCAGGCATACGCAGTATACGACCAAGCCATCGGAGGCGGTGTGAAGCAATTACTTCTACTATTACTACTACTACTACTACAACACACGACAACGAACCTCGTCCTTACTCATTCGGTGTTCCCACCAGACAGTGTCAGACAACTCTTCTGAAGGATACACTACTACTACATACACTTGAGTATGTTATCGAGCTCAGTTTTATGTGCAGACAGTGAGAGCAGGAGGCGATAGGCAACTTCGCTGTCGTCCGACTTAATACCACGCCTACGCGATTGGGGTCTTCTATGGTTCGCCACTCCGAATCCCGGGGCTCAGATTACCGGTTTTCATGAGTGAACTGTAGATCCGCGTGACTAGGGTTTACCCCTTCTGCTTTTATTCGCACAGCTGTATGTGTACTAAGATAAATGACAAGAGAAGAGAATTGAGAGGCACAGTGAGTGCTTGACGTTTGTGACTTCACCGGTGCAACTTAGTATCTGCTAAATATTTGTCTTCACTGTATCCGCTAAGTAGTTGTTTGCTTGCATCGATGACTGACGGTTTGTCCGTGTTTCACTTACAGGATCCGCAATCTGAGGAGTTTCTGGCCCGCTTCTACAAGTTTACAAGGGATACGGCCACTTCGCAACCACAAGCATCAGTCGACTCCACGCCACAGTCAGCAATCACTCAATCCGGAAAACGATCTAATGCTGGTTCACCTACAGGTAGTTAATTCAGTTCCGTTTCTGTTTGGATATATATATATATAAATTCGACTTAAAGAAAAATTTACTTCCACTGGCCACATTACGCTTTATACGGATTAGGAGACAATTTCCCTCGATAAAACTTTTATCCGGGAATCACATCACCATATTCCCAACCGCACAGCGCAATCACTGGTGTACCTAGTGGTGTAGTAACTGGCCGCCACCATACCACGTTGGAAACATCGGTTCTCGTCTGATCAACGAAGTTGAGCAACGTCGGGCCCGATTAGTGCGTGAATGGGCGGTGGTTACCCCGTGATAACGTCACCAAATTATCATCTCGGGGATGTGTTCGAATGCCAATCCACCTTTTAGATTGTAGTTACGTTTCCGAAACATTTAATTCGTTCCAGTTGCCATACGGAGCGGGAACGTTCAAGGCCTTCACGAATATTGTTTTCCTCAGTATGAACGATGCTAGTCCTCGAAGACTGATCCCCTAAAGAATTGCCGTTCTGTGCCTACTAACTTTTTATTCAGCACTACTTTACTTGCCTTTTGTTTTTTGTTATTGGACTCTAAACTCTTCTGTTTACTCCCTCAGTGGTCGATCAAATGGGTAGCCAAAAACACGGTAGTGCAAGGTTAATGCTCGTGCAAAGCTGAACGCAACTGATAATCTAAATTCAAGTTAGTCACAAATGAGCTCAGAAGCATATGAGAGAAGCGTTTTTTCCCCAACTTTCAGTCGATTCTAGAAAACACTTTGCTGTTGGAGTCAAATTTTTCTTCTCGGACATTTTGTGGTCCTCCGTCCCAGATCAGAAGGTTCGTGTTGTCAATTATCTTGCCCATCTGTCAGTTGTTTTTTAATTTCTCCAAATATCATTAACTGTTTTAAGTTTTTTTACTTAGTGTAGGTTTCATACCATCTCTCACAAGTTTTGTCAATGTACCGTGCTGGTCCATCCGCCTTGATATATGATTCATTCTCTCATCCCGCTAGATGGTCCTCAACCGGCCAAACGCCCACATGTTGACACCACTCCTCGTTCGGTAACCAAAAGCAAGAAAAAAGTCTCTCCAAAAGTTCAACCATCGCCGACTGTACGCACAAACCGTAGCCGGCGGACTCCTGTTACGTAAGTTCAACTGAAGCTCGCTTCCTTCGTTCTGGTGATTCGCCTAAATCAACTTGTTCAGCTCACATTACGCAATACATAACCATATCCATAGCTGCTGTGTTCTAATTTCTTTTCTGGGGTGTGAGCACTTTTATACGAGCTGGCTAAGAGCAATGGGCAAGTAACGCCTTAGCTTAACATAGGAAAGAATTCCGATACATGAAAAATGCAAATTCGATTAGTTGAGTTCTGTTTCAATACCACTGATTGCAATCTGAGTTGCGGTTCTTGTCTTCATCTTCTGTTGTGTTTTTGGCATGTTCATCAACTGCACACTAATCGAGACACTGGGCTGAGTATTTGGCACCAAGCACATTTATCGTGACTGTACTTGTTACATCCAGATCTGAATGCGGTTGAGGACGGTTAATTCAATACAATACACTATAACTGATCCGACGGTCGCATATTTGCACCCTGTTATCCGTACGCACATAATTGAAGAGGTTACATTTATTCATCACAAACGCTTGAGGTTAGCCGCGGCACACCATGCATTGTTCGATTTTCCAGGTCCTAAGGCATAAGCATTCGTTCCCACAGCTGAAAAATAAGTATTCGCGACTACGAAGTCCATCCGGCTGCTGATTATATTGGACGATAGTTTGCAAACCCAAACCAATTCTCCAATGCATCCAGGTTGCATTTGAAAAGCACGGCTCACGCTGTCTGATCGGACTGACTGTGGCGCTCCGAAGATACGGTTGACTCCTTCCATTCACTTTTTCATCCAACTGCTCGAATGGTCTGCGTTCAGGAATATCGAAAGCCTCAGTATGGTCGGGGGTGGGTGTCTAGGGTTGGGATTGATCACCCTTTCCTTGCACCTCACAAAATGCTCCCATACAACCAAGCGTCTCGAATAGCCTCTGCTGTGAAAGCCCTACTCACTGCCTTCTGGTGGCGGAGGTNNCCCACCAAAGTAAGAGGACGAAAAGCTGACGTCCGGGGCTATAACCGGGTCGGTGAACCCTTGGCAGTTCACCTAGGAGGGTTGACTGAAAACCCTGATTCCAAACCAACCAAGAACAAGCCTACGAATTACACC